GGGAACTGGCTGCATTGTAACTCGCTGACAGCCATGTGATACGAGTAGGGAAAGTATATGCCTCCATTGCAAGGAATATACAAAGCAGCAGGGGTCGTCCTTGATCATAAATCTTGCGGCAGAAGTTTTGGCAGATCTTTATCCGGAACCAACTTACTCAGAAGGCTAACTATTCATCCTAACCTCAATTCTTTCTGTGCTTCATTCTCAATTGTCCAATCCATTTTGTTTAACTATTTCTGTGCTTCATTTTTTATTTTTGTGTTTGTTTGGATAGAGGGTTATTTGCCAAAATTTATTTGTTTACATCATCATTCCAATTTCCAACACACCTTTTTATCTTCCCAATTATCTTTTTATCTCACATACATCACATCACAAAAAGTACTACAATAAAAATATCTCAAATAATTTACAATTCAAACATAGCCTTGTTTATAATCATTTGCCCTCTGCAGTTACAATTTGCCTTTGGAGAGCTAGCTGCTCATTGTCGTACATGTAAGAAAATTAAAAAGGATCCCATTTTGATAGTGAAGATAAAATCTATCCGAGAGCTCATCATGCTCTTCTTCTTTTTTTTTTCTTTTTGGGTCTTCTGGACGTGATTGATGCATGATTGAAATATTATTGTTATTGTTTGCCGAATAGAAAGGAAATGATCACAATCTCCGGCCCACCACCACTTTATTAGAGCACAAGTCTTCTTGTTTCGTCATTTCTTGCTATTCCAGAAAAGAAATATGTCCCAGGCATGCATCTGCGTCTCCTTTTTCTTTCCTTTGTCCTCCCAACGCCATCCCAATTATTGAATCTGATCTGGAGTGTGTGCTGCTACTGTTTCTTTCTATGAAGAGAAGAAGCTGCAAGCAAAACTTGCGGTTGGGCCCTGCTGACAGCTGAACATCTGAAATGAAGCGAGAGGTGGTACTGGTATGCCATATCCGGAGCATTTAGCTTCAAAGAGGCCAAGGACGAGACGATTGTCCTCTTTTCCAGTTTTCCCTCGAGTCGCGTGCTAATTGCCCTCCCGTCTCCCTTGATCTTCCCCGGCAAAAAAGCGTTGATATCAATCAATCATTTTGGCCAACAAAAAGGAAAAACAAATGTTAAGGGCTTTATTTCAGAGCAAGTCTTGTATACGCTCACATAGTGCATATACTATCATCGTTGGATTCATGATACGTGAAAAAATTGAATTTTAAATTTAAATTTTATATAGCTATCGTTCATCCAAATACTAATTGCTGCGTTTGGATTGAGTGTTTTTGCACCTGTTTTTGAAAAACTGTTTTTCACATTCCAAATGCTACAGTAAATGTGTATTTCAAAAACAACTTAAAAAACACCATATCCAAACAATATATCAAAAACAACTCCAAATATATTTCAATTATGTATATTTAATTTGTATATTTTAATAAATATATTTCAATTATGTATTTTAATATGTATATTTCAATTATATATTAATATATTTTAATATGTATATTTCAATTATGTATTTTAATATATATATTTCAATTATGTATATTATATATATTATATTAATATAAATATATTTATTTCAATTATGTATAATATTATATATATTATATCAATTGAAATAACTATTATATATTTATATAAATACATTTATTTATATATAAATTTATAAATATATTTATTCAATTTTGTGTTATAATATATGTTAATATATATTAATATGTGTATTTTAATTATGTATATTATACATAAATTATATTAATAATAATGTATATTATATATATTATACATTTCTAATATTATATATTTATACATACATATTATAAATATTTTATTTTGTTTATAATATATTTTTATATATTTATAATATATTTACATAAATATTATATGTTATCTAAATTATATATAATATAATAATTATATATTATATATTTATATAAATGTACATTTATACATGATATATAAATATTTATGTATATTTATAATACACATTTATATTATGTATAATATATAATATAATACATTTATAATACATTTATACATTTATATTAATATACATAATATTAATTTTACATTTATACATAATATCAATACATATATACATTTATATTAATTATATAAATACATTTCTACATAATATTAATATATATTTATAATATATTAATTTATACATTTATAATTTATACATTTATAATAATATACACTTATAATTTATAATATATTTATAATATTCATTTATAATTTATAATAATATACACTTATACATTTATAAATATATTTATATTATGTATTATATATAATATAATACATTTATATATTTTTATATGAATATATAAATATATTTATTTATAAATATCTATAAATGTATTATAAATGCATAAATGCATATTTATATAAAAATTTATAATTTATAATTTATACATTTATATAATATTCTTTTATAATTTATACATTTATAATAATATACATCTATACATTTGTAAATATAAATGTATTATAAATGCATAAATGTATTTTTATATAAAAATATAAAAATTATAATATTCTAAAAATACTGAAAAATATGTTTCACAAATACCTCTAAAAATAATCCAAAAAAATCTATAGTAAAAGTTTTTCATATAGTTTTTGAAAAACAACCCAAAAACAACTAATCCAAACGGACTTGTTTTTCAGATTCAAAATGCTACAGTAGTGTTTTTGAAAAACAAACCCAAAAACAGCTAATCCAAACGGAGCCAATAGTATTAGCATAGAAAAGATTAATCTTTTTTATGTTATGTACCTTTTCGTACAAAGTCATACTCTAGTAATTTTTTTCTGCCAACTTTTCTATGTAACAAATTAGAGCAAAATAATAACTTAGTCCTTTCATAAACTTTAGTACGAGTCAATCCAGTCCCTCAACCATCTTACTTGAGCCAAAATAGTTCCTCAGTTGTGTCACCGCGTATTAATGAACGTGATCAACTGTAGAAAGATGCATGCAGTTTCTCATGTCTAAATGAACACTTTTTTTTTTTATTAGGGTGACTCACGAGGTTGAAGATGTTGCTCTCTTGGTTTTACAAAATCTTACTCAATAAAACTTGGCGACATGGAAACGAGGAGACGAGAAGAAGGGCTGAGGTCAAAGAAACGAAATATGGAAACGTGGACAAAGTGGAATGGAATAGAAATATAGAAATAGGCGAAGGTCTCGGAGACTTTTAGCTTTAGGAGACTTTTAACAGTATATATGGTTGTTGTTGTTGGTCCGATCATACTACGCTTCCGTGTGGGCAACTCCTCGACTACTAATCCTTTTGCCTTTTGTACCTCAACAGTTCCAAAAGAAAAAAGAAATAAAGCAATAATAGTAGTAGTAGTAGAAGACTAGTACTCATCCAATCATTTTTGTTTGCTTAATTTGTACCTTTTCTTTTTGTTCACTAAATCCAATCATGTCCTGGGAGAGGCCACAAATTGCTTTGTCTGATGAGCACCAATAATCGATGAGCCAACAATTGAATTGAATCACGAGAGTGGGGGCATGACCTCACACCTAGTCGGCCATGTGAATGTGGTAGGTGCTGCACCTCCACCCACACAATCTGTATGGGGAGCTCGTATATCACGTGGAAGGAAGGATGTTTTGGTCATTATGAACATAATAACCAAAACAGTATAGAAATTGTGTGAACCATCATCGCTTACGGCTTACAGAGTAGTTGGAGTTGAAGGCCAATGTGATAGACAAGAATGGATCATTTTTCTCGCAAAAATGTATGTCCAAATTTCATTGTCGATGCCAGAAATTGTGTCGGTAGACGATCCGTAAGAATTTCTATAAACAACTTATAATCCTAAAAACATGTTCTGACCTGTCTGTAGTGATCATGAAAATCGAATTCACGAAGCATGAAGTGTAGGTATGATTAGAGCTGCCGGCGAGTCGAGTCGCTCATAAATAACTCGCAAGCGTCTTGGTCAAATGTTCAATTCGAACTCGATTTGACTGAGTTCGACCTTGAGCTCGAGTAGTTCGTACGTTGGATATACCAAATCGAATTCGAACCGTTATTTCTGCTAATCGAAGTGCTCATTTAGCCTGATTATTGATAAATTATGTATGTTACATTTTTATTTTAATTATAAAATGACTAATAAGGGTTTATGTTTTAGGTGATTTACCACAAGTGCTGTCTACTCAATAAAATACATAAATGACAAAAAATGTAATGTTGTAAAAACTGAAAAGGAATTGAGGATTTTAGATAATTTACCATAAAATTTCAAGCATTTTTTCGAGTTTTATTTCGAGCCTTGGAACCTGTTAAGGCTTGAGACCGGTTTTCAAGCCTGTAAATGAATCCCTGAATCTGCAATAAAATAAAATTTAAAGGGTGTGTAGTGGTACATTCCATTTGTCGGATTGACGATTGGCTCAAAAAATATATATTTGAATTGTAATCATGCAACCACCTATTTTAACACATATTGACGATTGGCTAAAAAATATCCTGGCTCTCTCCTTCCTTCTAAGACACTTGGCTAAGAGGACCCCACTTTCCGACCCTCAACAGCCAAGTGAGACAACAATAACGCCGTACCAGAAATTAATAAAAAAAAAAAAATCATACATGGTGGAGAATGGAGATGGAGTATCAAAAAAGAAGGAGCAGCAATAGAGGCGAGAAAGAGGGAAGAAACCGCAGTTCAGTCAGCAACAAGTTGGGAATCTGAAGGAAGGAAGAAGGAACATCCATTTTCTGCACTCATATTATATTAGGACTACGACTGCGATACGAAAAGGAGCCGCGGCTAGCCAGAGAGGGGCAGAGAGGCTTGATATAGTACTAACGGAAGAATAGAATCGGAGTACTTGCTTGTGTTATTTTATCTTGAAAGCGGACTCTTCCTCGAGAACCCCCAACTCCGCCGACTAGTTGTTGAGCGGCGTTTAGTCTAAGGAGATTGATATATCGCTGGTGCAGGTGAGGCAGTACTGCTGATCAGATTTCATACCACCGGGTGGTCTCTCTGGTATAAATAAAGGTCGCGTGGTGAATCAAGTTAATGGTACTCCTGGGAATTAGAGGCGGTAGGAAGGAGGAGGAGGAGGAGAAAGGGGAGCAATAATTACAATAATAGCAAGAGGAAGAAGAATTCAATGCGACTGTGGAAATACGACGTTGGAAGGACCCTGGGAGAAGGCAATTTCGGAAAAGTCAAGTACGCCAGAAACCTGGAATCCGGCCAATCTTTTGCAATTAAGATCTTGGAGAAGCACAGGATCTTTGACCTCAACATCACCGATCAGGTATACATGTTCATATAACTACTAGTTTATGCTATTGCTACGTACTCATTGAGATATTGGAGTATAACTGAGGGATGACTTGTCATCTCCTCCAGCTCGTTCCTTTTTGTTAATTACCAGTATTATTGTACTGCTCCTCCGTCCCATATACCGCCACCCAGTTCCCTTCGTCTCATCAATCTGATCATCATCTAATCCATCCATCAACCCTGATCTCACTACTACTATTGGTTTTTCCTTGATTAGTTTGCACCATATTTTTGTATTCTCATGTACGTCCCACGGTCAACGCCCAGCTAGCTACTGGTATACTTTTTTGAGTTATCAAACTCTTCTTCTCCTCTTTGCTTGCTGCTGGTTCATCCAAAAAAAATTTTTTTTTGAAAAGAAAATTTTTTTTGGTCCTCCTCCACCAAAAGGACTAATTAAATCTTCATTCTCCTGGAACCGTAAATTAGTGGGACACGTAATTAATTGTGACGCACCGGCGGTATAGAATGTAGCTCTCCATGTGCTTGCTCCATCTTTGAAGCCTTTCCATCTCATCTCCTCTTTGAATTTAATAATTCTGTCAAAGATATGTCTGCTACGACAAGTTTGCTGCTGCTTTCTTTTTCTTTTCTTTTTTTTTTTTCCCCATTCGGGCGGAAGGGATTCTTACCTAAAACTAAAAGTAAGCAGTTTGGAAGTATTTTATGATCAAGTAGCTATTGTTCCCGCTCTCTTTTGCTTCCTTACAAGTATCGAAAAGAATGGTAGAAAGGAAGCAATTAATTCCTTGAGTGAGGTTTGAATTTGGAGCTGCAGTGTTTAAGAATCTGCTACAGCTTCGCTCATAAGTAGTAATCAATAATGTGTAAAAGAAAGTGAAAGTGGTAAGGAGTCGTATCAATTCATAGTAAATGGGTGTTTGTGAAATGAAATTGCAGATAAAGAGGGAAATTGGGACCTTAAAGCTTCTCAGACATCCCAACGTGGTCAGGTTACACGAGGTACGTACGCCCCCATCTTTCCCGACTTGTGACTGCTGCTGCACTTAGTTCTAATTGGCATTACTCTTATAGTAAGTATTCTATATACCGCGTGTCTACACGTACATCATACCTTTCATTTCTCAAATCTGAATTGGAAAGGCGGAGTAATAATGTAGTAGTAGACTAGTAGTATTTCTTTTAAGTAAGAGTTCGCCCGGGGATATAATCTGGAAGATTTTTTGCTGCATAGCCATAGAAGGGGAAGGCAAAAAAGAATAGAATAGACGCAATCCCATTTTCTTCAAGCTTTACCTCGCGGCCGAGTGGATTAAAGCCCTGTTAAAATAATGATCGAATGTTGCTTTGGACCGTCTCTTAGAAGTTTTAAACCTTGAAGTGGGTATGACGACTTGAAGTTGGTTATTAAAACAAAAAATTTCACTAGAAAGTAAATTATGCTCCTACATGCACCAGTAATATATACTAATAGATTGCCGAAATTTCATTGGGTGGCAGGGGCGGTGCAGACCAACCCAATCGGATTGTGCTGATAATCTTCTACAGAGTCATTTCACCTCATCTTATGTTCTCATTTCAAATAATTACTTTGTATAGTTAGCTTTTACAAAATCTATCTCTAACGAAAACAAACTCATACTGATACTAATGTTTTACCAATCTACGAACAATTTTTACAACCTTCAGTTCCATAATAACCAAAAAAAAAAAAAAAATTTTTTTAAATTCAATCTCATTAGATAGTAATACTTTTATTTTTCAAGACAGTAGTACTTTAGCAGTACTAATGTTCAGTTAAGAGTTTTTTTTTTTTTTTTTTTTTTTTTTTTGCAGAGTGAGGTGGTAGTATTTTTTTTTCATTATAGCGCCCGAAGCTTTTCCACAATACTGCAGGCCACAAATTGGTAAAGCGATTGGGGGGCTTCGGCGGGGGTTGGTAGGCAGTAGGTTGCAAACGAGTCAAATCGATCGCAAATATTTCGAGTCAAAGCTCGACGCGAGCAACTCTAGTGCAGTTTAGTGAATATGGAACTCGAGTCGAGTTCGAGTTCGAATTCGAACTCAAAGATACTTAATTCATTAATACGCGAGTCGACTCGATTATATAAATGTGCACATATATTAATTTTTATTTTAATAGTGAAATTACATATATCTTTTTAATATTTTATTATTTATTAAGAAAAATTGCTATTTTATTCATTTTTTAAAAAAATAAAATAATTATGTTTTATTTTTTTTAAACTTGAGTTCTAACTCAACTCGATTTGAATTTGAGGTCGAGTTTGAACTTATAAAATTAAGTTAAGATTCGAGTCAATTATATTAAAATTCGATTCGACTCAATTCGTTTGTGGTCCTAGTTGTAGCATAATTAAAAGGAAAGAAAAATATAACTTCTGAAGCAATTTGGGTTGGACGCGGGCCTGCCAGGCAGTCCTGGGGCAGACAAGGCCACATTACATGACCGAACTAGAATGGGTAAATGCTCAGCAGCAGCCTTGGTTTCTTTCGGGTCCCTACATTTTGGAACCGTTTGACTTATAATTGGCTTGGTTGATAAGACGGGCGCCTGCTGGTCTCCTCTTGAATTGGGTTCCACTTGAGAGTTAAGAGTTGAGATGAGCTTGGTTGCGAACCAAACATACAAGACACGAATAATATTTAGGGTCGATTAAAGTCCCCGGCTCCACTCGGTCCTCGCTCAGTTAGTGTAAATTTTGAGATTTATACGTCAAAATATCAAATTACTCAAGCTCAACTTAGAATTCAATTGATGAAAAGCTAGTTTAAGCTGGACTAAGTAATATAAATAAACCCATTAAGATCAACAAATAAGTTTACAAATTGAGATGTCAGAGTCAAGTATACTTGTTTTGCAGTCTTAGTGAAAAGCTTATTCAAGAGTAACACTAGGAAGCCTTGTAAACTTGTATAAGTTGGTATTAAATATAGTGCCTTTCCATCTTCTATGTGCTGTTATACATCAACTGAAATTTGCACAAGCATACACAATTAAACTGTTTAAGCAATAAAGTGCAACTTAATTGACAGTACACTTTACCTGTGACCTATGATTTATAAATCCCAAGTTCGAGTTGGAAAGGAATAAGGTAGACTGAAATGTTAATCCGCTATAATTAAGCCAAAAGAATAATGGGCTAGGCATTCCCATTTATATGCTAATTCCTCCCTGTATCCGTCAAGTACAAAAAACAGGAGGAAAAAATGGTTTTGAGTTGAAAATTTCTGACATGTGCACACTATGAAGGTTTCTGGCAGTTAAATTATGAATGTTCAAGCTAATTGCTCTCACCACCCTTTAACGACAAAAACAGGAGAGAAAAAGAAACAAAAGAGTGATTTTGAGTTGAAAATTTCTCACAGGTGCACCCTATGCATGTTACAAGCAGTTCAATTTTTTTGAGTAGTTCAATTATGAAAGCAAGATTCTAATTTTTCTTTAATGGATGCCAGGTCCTAGCAAGCAAATCCAAAATTTACATGGTCCTAGAATTTGTGGACGGCGGCGAATTGTTTGATCGAATAGTAAGTAGCTTTAGCATTGTGCATTGAACAGCAAGGAATTGCTTCTAATTACTTAGCCCAAGTATTAACATTTATGCGGATGCTTTGCTGAATGCTCCGCACTCTTGGTTTAAACCTGAAGGCATCCAAGGGGAAACTCTCCGAGGCTCAAGGCAGGAAGCTCTTCCAGCAGTTAATAGATGGCGTCAGTTACTGCCACAACAAAGGCGTTTTCCACAGAGATCTCAAGGTAAAGGATCTTTTGCTTTTACCGTTCCGTCATTCAAGAATCAATGTTTCGGTTCCATCTTTTCACTTTATGTTCTTGTCCTCCATACTGAAATGCAGCTGGAAAACGTGCTGGTTGACGCAAAAGGAAATGTAAAGATAACAGACTTCGGCCTCAGTGCCTTGCCCCAACATTTTAGGTATGATGCGCCATAAAGCACAAAGCCTGCTGTCTAATCATATGTGTTTTTGTTAATTTCTTCCATTGATGAGATTGTTGTTATCCATTATCAGGATGATGGATTGCTCCATACAACGTGCGGAAGTCCCAATTATGTTGCCCCTGAAATTCTTTCTAACAGAGGTTACGATGGTGCCACATCAGACACTTGGTCATGTGGTGTCATATTGTACGTAATTCTCACAGGATATCTCCCATTTGATGACAGAAATCTTGCAGTACTTTATCAGAAGGTTGATGCTTCTCACTGCCTGAAGCTGCAGAATGCTTAAATACTCTTTAAACTCCTTGGAACTTAGACTCTAATCCTCTTGTGATAAAACAGATCTTCAAAGGTGATGCTCAGATACCCAAGTGGCTATCACCTGGAGCCCAAAACCTAATTAAGAGAATACTTGATCCAAATCCTTGTACTCGGATATCAATGGCAGACATCAAAGTGGACGAGTGGTTCAAGCAAGACTACTCTTCTGCAATACCTTATGATGATGATGACGACAACAAACAAAATGCATTCATAGATGATGCAGTTTTATCAGTGCATGAGGTGTATGAACTTCTATGATTCATTGCTTAATCGCATTTGTCAACAAGTACTTCCTCTCCAGTAATGTCCCGAAACCTGATTAGCCTTTCTTGCTGCAGCCATCGGAAGCAGAAAAAGATCCAGAATCATCTCACCTCATTAATGCCTTTGAGCTGATTGGAATGTCTTCCTGTCTAGACCTTTCCGGTTTTTTTGAGAAAGAAGTAAGCTTGTATAATGACATGAGCCATCTTTCACATTCTGCTTTTTACATTTCTTTATTCAAGGTTTTACAAACCTCAGGATGTCTCGGATAGGAAGATAAGATTCGCTTCCACTCACTCTCTAAAAGAATTGCTTGAGAAGATTGAGCAGACAGTAACAGAAATGGGATTTCAAGTCCACAAGAAGAATGGAAAGGTCAGTATTTTCTGTACTGATTTTTTGGTCAGATAATCCGTGGATTTTAAATGTTTTTCCTCAGAAATTGGTCTGTCATTATCTGTTATTGAGAAACTGAAGACTGATAAACTCTTTTGACCCTGAAGAATATACTAAATAAGAAAAGAGAAAATGAATGAAATTGAGCCGGAAATAATTTGCGTATTCCGCATCAGCCAAAAATGTAAGATAACTTGGGTTGAAGAACATAACATGGTGTAAAATAGGCTATTGAGTTGCATTGATTAATTCAGCAAGTGGCATGTTAATAACCTGATAATTTGGTTTGCGCATTGTCAATTTGTTCAGCTCAAAGCGATACAAGAGCACAAGGGTGACAAAGGCCCAGGTAGCGTCTCAATAGCAGCAGAAGTAAGTGATGATGGAGTGTGGATGATTTTACCCTAGGATAGCCTCTCTAGAATTTTGAGCATTAACCTTTATTTAAAATTGGGCAGGTCGTTGAAATAAGCCCATCTTTGCATGTTGTTGAATTACGGAAGTATTATGGGGATCCTGCAGTCTATAGACAGGTATGATTCAACAAGATTCGATATCCCATCCCCATTTGCCCCTTCGCCCGGGGCTCCTCCTCCCCCAAACACCCCGTCCTTCGCTGCTTCTCGACATATAAGGGCACCCTCCTTGGGTAAAACAAGAAACAGAAGGAAAAAACAAATACTCAATGTTTATTTAACTTCTATCACTTGTGCAGTTGTGCAAAAAGCTGTCTAATGATTTGGGCGCCTCGTCAAGTCAAGAGTGCTTAGCTGCTGAATTGTGAGTACCCTTGCTGCTTAGCTTAGAGAATAGAGATGCTATATGCTACGCGATGTATACATGCATACAAGTATTATACAGTGGTACTATTACCCTACCAATGATTCATTATAAGATGTTAGCAGATGATTCTTTTAAAACTGTATAGCGCTTCAGTAGATCCAGTTCATTTTAGTCTTTCATGATAAATTAATAGGTTTGTAAGCTTGGACGATAAATAATTTTCCAAGAAAATATACGTACCTTCTATGCCATTTTCTCTGTTGCAGAAATCTGCTGCTATGTTCAGAATTTTCTCGAGGCCCTCAAGACTTTAAAATGGAAAACAAGTTTTGTTCTATAGTATAACAAGTTTTTGTGTGTGTGTGTGTAAGTGATGTCCACTTCAGGTGACAAACATGATCGTGAATGGTATTATGCCTTCAACAAATGTACAATCCAAGTGATTAAATGGTCTTTGACATGTTTGATAGGAGGCCGAGGGCATAGCCCTTGTCTTGGATCATCTGATTCAATCCGAACGTTCACAAGAAACACCCATCAATTAGTTCGACACAACTAAAAAACATAGACGAGGAAAATCAAAACAAACGAACTCTGGTACGCACAAACAACTAATTCGTTCCAAAAAGGTGGAACAAATATCTCCAAATCTTTGCTAGATCCTAGACGTTTCTCCTCAAGCAAAACTAAATACTGAATCTTTTAAATTCTAAAAGAAAATTTTGTTGTGACAGTTTTATGGTTGTAAAGCAACAGGATAAAATCAACTAAAAATAAACAATAATCCATAATGGCATTCATTGACAAAAGCTTCAAAAACAACCTTTCTAACTGGAAAGGCATGCCTTGTGCAATCAAAGACTTGACTTGCCATGCACCAGCATCCTTCTCAGATGCCAAAAAGCCTAAGAGAACCAATGGACGGTAAGCATCTTCAACCTGGTGATGATAATAAGTTTGTTCACAGCTAGTTCTCTGACTAGTCAGCAGCCATGAATGGATCTGTATCACCAAGATCAGCTATCAGAGGTTCCAACTCATGTAAATCTTCATCTTCTGGGGCAAAATACGTTGGGAATGGCAGTGTTGATATATCAGGTTTTCTGAACACTGAATCTTTTATAAACACAAAGTTTCCTGTGGCACCCGGACCTGAAATAAAATGGGAATGTTACATTAATCTAAAAGACAAAAATTAAAATTATATGCCCCCCGGTTCCGAATTGCAACATTAGGACAGAGATGGGAAATGAGCTTCAGATCATTGGCAATGAGGAATAACCATTGTACTAGTTCTAGAGAGCCAGTCGAGTAATTCTTCAATGCCATTACTATGATTGAGAAAAATTTACAACCGAATTTTGACAAGTGTTACAACTTAAAGAGGCAGATAATTGGATCAACAATATAACTGCTTTTAAACTCAAATCCAAGTGCTCATTCTCAGAAAGGGATAAGTTACCTGGCCTTTCACCCACATCAGATTCCTGGCTGGGTCAATTTTGTAAACCCAAATATTTTTTACTGTTCTTTGTTTCCCACCCATGCGTCCAGGCATCTTTTTGCCCTTAAACACCTGTTACGTAAAAGATTAAAAGTTGTGCCTCAACATGTTCACAATACTGTTTTTACTGAACCATGTATTTTTGAAACTTCTCTTCCTGCGTAAAATTAGTGATTTACAATAAACAATTACATTGTAGTAAGCATTCCAGTACACCGATCAGTGAACAAAAGAGTTGGAACTTCTGGCAGTACAAGAAAAAGGACCAACATGCTCAGGAGTCAGGAGATAGCCTATCTAATATCATAAATTGTGACGATAAAAGATCCAAGAACCACACATCACGCATCACGCATCACGCAAGAAGATTCTATAATTAATAATACATCTCCAATCAGAATGTGAAGCCTAAAAACCCATAATCAGCCAGAGTTGGAAAACAGTTGGAGTTTGAAAGACTGCACTCAATTTCTTCATACTTTCTCAAAGACATGTAAAATAGAAAATAAAGTGATATGGTTGATGAAAAATTAATATTGAGACAAGAAATTAAAAGCCAAAGCACAGACAAAATCAAAACAACAAAAAATTATGGCAACTAAAACTGTAGAAAGGGTTATATGGGGAAATAATAAAAACAACAGTACACAATAAGAAGGATCACTTAGGCATTGTGCTTTTATCTCTGCTGTTCTAAGAGCAGTCTGCAAGAATGAATGAATGCCAAAAAAAAAAAATATCACATAGGCCAATCAACACAAGCCAACTCCCTCCACCCAACTAACCCCAGATAGAGTTTCCATAGGTTCAAAGTCCCATTCTGGATAATATACATGCAGTGTAGCCTTCACTAACCATAATCACTGGTCCCAAATGAGATTACACCTATCTAAAACCATATCTGCTAATTGACACTATAGCATATATACAAATTGGTAGGCCAAAAAGTAAGATGCCTTCCACATTTTTTAATGCCAAAAATCAGCCATGCCATCAGCCCTGGACCTTGTCATATAACATAGTTATCCTATGGTTTAAGCACAAGACAATGCCCGCATAATACCAAAGAAGAGAGAAGACAATGATCAGTAGCTGGTCCGAGAGGATGATCAGCCACACGCAACTGCCGAATAGAAAAGGGGGGGAATATTTCACTGAAAAGCAAAAGAAGTATAAACAGAAAGCGTGGTAATGAGACGAGAGAGAGAGGAAAGAAGAAGTAAAAGGAGATGGAGAGCTACAGATGAGGGAGGGCGATAAAACAAGAGAAAGATAAGAGATGGGAGAAATAAAAATGAGGCTGGAGGAGGGAAAAATTTGACTGGGTTTGCAAAAAAGAGCCGGGGAAATAACAGTAAATGTATTAAAATTGAAGTCTTCATACAGCACGAAGTTAACGATCCAAAATTTGGTATAAAAGAAATCCTTACCCCCCAAGTAATACAAGTACAAGTTAACCTTGGAGAGACAGAAACTAAAACATTAGTAAAAATCGATGATGCAGTAGGCACAATTAAACAGTAATTGTGCCCTATGCCTAGTGCCTGATGCCAAGGCTCTCAAGGAGCATGGCTGCAAGATCGCCTGCCAGGGAACAACACAGACAAGTGCTTCTGCACCTTCACCTTTGATAACTTAACGTAGTACAGAAGCCATTCATGGTATCATTGCCAATAGGCATCCAAAAGACGGAATGCAGTTAACATGAAAGGATTTAGTTAAAGACTGTAAAAAAAAGACAGGCCAAATAGACAACGCCTTGACTTTGTGTCAGTCAATCAACATTAATAAAACCTGATCACTTCTTTAAGGATAGAGAACGTTATATGACTGCAATACCAGAAATGCTCACATGAAAAGTATCTAATGTTTGTGTCATCCTTATGACAATGAAAGAGGAAGAATATATCCTTATATAAGGAAAATCAAGCTGGAGCAACACTGAAATGTTTCTACAAGTTATATGACTTGCATTCCTGAAAATGAAGAATGCTTTTTGAAACAAAACCAGATTAAGTGGGAGCTATTCTTCCAAATTTGAGAAGCTAATATAAGACATGCATGCATCTCTTCCCTTGTAATGTTGCCATAGGGATACTCCTAATACATGTTTCCAAATAACATGTACTACTTCCCTGAACATTAAACTTTTTTATTGCTTAAACATCCAGCTATAAATGTTTAGAGCAAAGAGCAAAGTTAGCAAAACTTAATGATTGCAGAAGAGCCAACAGAAATAATAAGGAAGACCATTAGAAGCAATGCTTCAAATAACCACAAAATCAGAGTTGTGAGACTAGAGATACCCATATGAACTACAGACAGCATCAGCTTAACATATAGCTTATATGCAGGCCACAAGGTACCTTTCCAGGAGCGTCCCTTTGACCTGTAGAACCAATACTTCGATGCGATAATGAAGCACCATGAGAAGCTGGCATTCCTTTAAACCCCCATCTTTTCATCCCACCCTAGGCCAACCAAAAGAAGAACAAGAAATAACACCAGCTTTAGAACTCAATTTCCAAACCAGAATTCAGTCGTAAACATTCTACAAGAAATGGAATTTTCTCCTCAGGACAACCAAGACAGAGTTTCAAATGCATCCTGATGAGTTATCGCATACAGATTTTATTTAAGAATCTTAAAATAGTCAGATGGAACAAAGCTTTATTTAGTACTTCATAATGCCAGACCGGAATGATAGCCGCAATAGGTACAGCCACATTATATCAGCAAACAGCATTATGACAACCTGGAATATATTTATGTGTGAACTTGTGGCAATCAAAAGATCAGTGCTTTGGTAGATTGAGGAAACATAAAAAAGAGATAGATCCTCAAGAAAAATTGTCTAGTCAGGTTCATGCAGAATTGGTGTAGCAACACAACTTTATAAAAGCGGCTTCAAATGGGAGTTGATCCTCAATTAGAATTAAAAGGTTATGAAAAAGCGCGTGCTTACTAACCTGAAAGCCTTTCCCCTAGTAATGCCAGTGACATCCACGAACTGCCCAGGAACAAAATGACGAACACCAATGTGAGTACCAACAGGGAGCAAAGCATCCTCAGTGACGGGGAACTCCCTTAACTTCCTTTTCATGGGGACACCTTGAGCTCTAAAGTGGCCCACCTCCGGCTCGTCAAATGCTTCTCTTTTTTGTGGCCGCATCCAATCTAAGTAAGAAAACAGAAAAGGATGATGGGTGGCAGTAAAGAACCCATCCAAAACAAATTACTACTTCAGTCGCTAGTAGCTAGTATCAAAACCAGCTAGCAAACCACGAGTCTGGGTGTAAAAGAAAAGCGGAAAGAAATGAAATGATATCGAGATGGCATAACGAAATACTCCAGGAGTTGTTAGCATGGCTCAAAGTCGTAAATAATGCAAGAATAAAAGAACAACACGTTCCTGCAGGGAAATCAATCAAATTTAGAGAGAGAGGAAACTGTGGGGAGGGGAGGGAGGGGAAGGGCGCGGGCGGAGGCGGGGGACGGGGGTTACCTGGAGGGCAGATATGCCTTCTATTTCGGGGGTTTTGACTTGAGAGACGATGTTATCATCCATATGAAGGATGGTGATAGGAAGGCGAGCACCCCATTTGTCCAGAGAGCGGTCATACCACACTTGACGGCAATGGCTCCGGGCCTTTTGGAGTTAGGAGTCATGACCCGAGATTTGGCTTCGATGACACGAGAGGAGCTGCTGGTGTTCTCTTGTAGTTCATCCACACGTAAAGGTTGGGCGCTGAAGAATCTGC